TTTTTTTTTTTTTTTTTTTTTTTTTTTTTTTTTTTTTTTTTTTTTTTTTTTTTTGATAAGAGACATTTTCATTGATGAGTGAAATTTACAAGAGGGATGTATAATCCATGATGTTTACAAAAGACCTTCCCAATTTGCAACGAGGGAGGTATAACTATAGGACAAAGTAAGACCTATAGTTATTTGACGAGTGAAATTGTACTTTGTTTGATTAGAGGCCTTTCATGTAGGTTGCCTCCTTTTGTGGGCTCTCTTTTTGTATGCTCTTGTATTCTTTCATTTTTTCTTAATAAAAGCTCGGTTTCTTATTAAAAAGATAAGGAACATAACTGATTTTGGAACTTATCAATGTTTAATATCTTAACAAACCCTAATTTTTCTGAGAAGCAGAAAACTAGAGAGACGTTGAATGCAAAAATAGGGCAATTGAATTCTGCCATTGACAATGTATCTTCACGTCTGAGAGGTGGAAAGAACACTCCAGCTGTGCCAGTTGAAGCTGATCCTGAGGTTGAAGCTACCTTTTAAATTCTGCTTAAACATGGACTGCTCAAGGTTTGAAGTTTGTACATCTTAGACACCATTTCATCTCATGTGACAATTTGCCTCATTTCAAAGTTTTTTGGATTTGATCAAGATGAGAATTGGATATTGCAGCTTCATTGTTGGAATGATCTTTAAGGTTATTACCACTTTTAGAACTTTTTAAATCACCACTGAATTCCAATGTAGTTTTTGTTGTCCATATTAATATAAGAACATAGTCTAAATAGCCAAATTTTGGCATACATCTTGAAAAATGGCCATTAGTTTCATAGATTGCAAATTTGTCTACTCAAAGGAAGATTTCAAGTAAGTGGCAACCAAAGGAATTGACTATTTTAAATAGTATAGAATGTGTAATTTTTTATTTATTTATTTAATCTTCAAAATTGTCTAAGATGAAAATAATCCAATATAGATTCTACCTCTATAGATTGAATACCTATAACACATGGATAATGTAAAAATAATGAAAATAGGAGTGACGATTGACTCACATAAACACGTTCACTACCTAGCCTTGACATCGAGTTGCAATTTGAACATTGATCTTTCTTTATGCCTCCTAGCCGTTAGCCTCGACACTGAGTTGCATTTTGAACCGTGATCTATCTTTATGCTTTCTAACAGTTATACAATTTGAATCAGCTGTCACTATAAAGACCGATTAGAGAGAGGCACCCCGAGTGCTAGTCTAAGTATATTAAGAGTGGAAGGAGATCATCAATTAAAAACTTGAAAAAAGAAATATACAAATGTATATATACAAATATTTATAACAAAATAATCTCGGGAAGAAATACATAATAAAATAAATGAAATTCAAAACCGTCATGCGCTATTGACGACTTTTTTTGAAAAGGTTGAATATTAAGAATACCTCATATGTAACTTTCCGGTGAAGGTTAAATGTATATATACAATTCAAAACCTTAAACGTATAACATACATTGTCACTAAAATGTGCTAATGATTTGACTTTGTAAACTCGAGGCACTATGAAAGTGCCAATTCCATGAGGTACATGTGTGTGAGAGACTTGGTGGGCCTTACTTCAATTAATTAATGAGAATTGACTCTCTCGACACACGATCGTCACGATAAAAATACAATACAGGTAATTGCTACAATCATATCATTTCACATGTCAAATAGTACCGTACATACATGAGGTCTCATAACTAACTTTTTAATAACATAACACATGCATGGACAATTATCATTTAAAATCTATACAACACGATATACAATAATTATATACAACTAATCTATGCTTAAGGTCGTCCTGCTTACATCAATTACAAAAATCTGCAATGAAAAGTCTCTTTCACCCGTCCTTTATTAGCTCACATATTTTTTTGTTCATTTCCTAGAAACACCCCAATAGACTCAAATGAAAGGATAGAAAATCGAAACCAAACGGAACTAGATGAATTGAACTAAATCGAGTTGAACCAAACTGATTGAACCATTATAACTAATTTCAACACACAATCAATATGCAAACTCGAAGGATGTGATTGGAAGAACCAGAGTATAATGACCTACCATTTTACACTTGAGCAAATGAGTCGTAGCTATAAACAAAAATACAAAAATTAAGAATTTAACAAACAAATTCATAAACATCAATAAATAAAGAACATTAAATTACGTAATATTTCTTAAATAATACTCAAAGTTTTCAAACTAAAACTTTTCCGTCACTCTAATTCACGGTTGTTCCATAGTCTTGAACTTGTATTATGCCCGTTACGAGGCATATGAAGTCAGACTTCACTTGAAAAAAGAAAAGTTGGAAACACGAATATTTAAATATTCGATATATGAAGGCTACTGCCTTCTTGCATGTACCAAAATCGATCTTGGTCGGGATAGTATCTTAAGACTACTATTACCTTTTATCCTTTCGTTATATCGTGATATGCCTCACTATTTGTTTCCCTAAGCTTATTTAATGTAATGGTCTTATTATCGTTTCGAAGCTGAGTTTAACTCTTTACGTAAGGCCATATCATTAGCTCTATGAGCTTAACCCTATATTTAAGCTCATATTAATACTATTAGGACATTTTCTTAGTCAAATCAAGTCCTATACATGCAAGGAGTAACTTTCGGACTATTAAGACACTATCCTAATCAACGCACATATGGTGCAAGGAGTGACCCTGCAATTATTAGGGCACCCCTAAACAAAAGTTCTAATTAGCTACTTATCTCGATTCTAACTCAATATAAGCCAATTGATTTTCTTAAAATCTCTAAGTTAAAAGATCCTAAAATCATATTAGTAAATTTTAATTTAGTTTGAAAAACGATAAAAAGGTGAAACTGGCCAAACTAAGATAAATCGGTCCAACCGAGTTAGTTCATCCCTGCACTTAACGCATGTCTCCAGCTCCAAACATCTTATCCATTGGAGACAACTTTTTTTATTTTTTGTTTCTGTTTTGTACTCATGAAGACGATTGTAATGAAAAGATAAGTTTTTTTTTTTTTTTTTTTTTTTTTTTTTTTTTTTTTTTTTTTTTTTTTTT